TTTTTTTTTTTTTTTTTTTGAGATGGAGTCTTGTTCTGTCACCAGACTTGAGTGCAGTGGCATGATCTCGGCTCACTGAAACCTCTGACTCCCTGGTTCAAGCAATTCTTCTGCCTCAGCCTCCCAAGTAGCTGGAATTACAGGCACATGCCACCACGCCCAACTGATTTTTGTATTTTTAGTAGAGATAGGGTTTCATTATGTTGGCCAGGATGGTCTTGATGTCCTGACCTCGTTATCCACCCACCTTGGCCTCCCAAAGTGTTGGGATTACAAGCGTGAGCCACCACGCCTGTCCCATTTTTTTTTTTTTCTTAACAGCTTTATTGAGTTATAGTTCACACACCACACGGTTCACCCATATAAAGTGTACATTCAGTGACTTAGTATGTTCACAGAATTGGGCAACCATCACCACAATCAATTTAGAACGCTTTTCTTACTCCAAGAAAGAATACCCATTAGCAGCCACTCCCAAACTTTTCCTGATTCCCCAGCCCTAGTCATCTGCTGATCTACTTTCTGTTTCTATAAATTTGCCTCTTCTGGACATTTCATATAAATAGAGTTATACAATATGTAGTCTTTTGTGACTGATTTCTTTCACTTAGCATGATGCTTTTGTGGTTTATCCACGTGGTACCATGTGTCAGTACATCATTCCTTTTCATTGTTGAGTAGTATTCCATTATATGGATATACCACATTTTGTTTATCCATTCGTCAGATGGACATATGAGTTTCCACTTTTTTTTGAGAGACACAAACAAAATGTTATCAGTTATTAGGTTCTTAAGAAATTCAGAACACCAATTTGTGAGGATAAGTTCTGTTCATCAGGGCAAACACAGATCACAGGTAGCCCTGGAGCTGAGGAAAGGTTTGATTTTTTTTTGTAAAACGTGTGAGTCCACAACTTTCTGATAAATCTTGTGCACCAGTAAGATGTTTTGCTATTTTCACATTGCTGCTACCAATTTTGGTTGAGGTGGCAATGACAGATTTCTGGTGTGTTCTTTGTAGAGGAACTTGGTTGAGGACCAGAGGTTCAGTCCCAAGACCAGCTGCTTCAGGAAAACCACCCTCTCGCCTCTGTGGCGCCCAGTGAGGATGACCAGAGTGGTCCTGGAGGTGATGCTGGATCGCAGTTTCCTCACATGCTGACTGAAGGGGTTTTTTTTGCCGTGACTCAGCAGCTTTAGAGGCACATCTTCAGTAGGATAATATCTAGGCATTTTGTGAAGTTTAACCACCTGGGTACCACTGTTCTTGTCAACACCAACTGGTTTTGTAACAGTTGCGAGAAACTTCTTTTTCTTTTCAACCTTGGATTTAGCAGCTGAGTACTTCTTCCTGGACATGGCCTTTCTGGAATACATAGCAGATCGGGAATATCTGCAGTTCCTCTGACAAGGACAGGATTGTGGCTGCAATGGGGTTTCCCTTGAGGTTGGGCATTTTCTCCTTGAGGTTGCCCCTTTTCACCTTGCCACCAGCATCAGCCTTCTTGGCCTTGGGTTTATATCTGGCTTCTCAACTTATTCACCCATCATCTTGCAGGGTGGGAAAGACTTCACTTTTTGGCTATATGATTAATATTGCTATAAGCATTCATTTACAGGTTTTCATGTGGCTGTATTTTCATTTCTCAAGGCTATACCTAGGAGTAAGATTGCTGGGTCATACGGTAACTCTGTGTTTTAACCTTTTGAGAAACTGATACATGGTTTTTCCAATGTGACTGCACCATTCCACATTCCCTCCAGAAGTATGTGAGGGTTCCAGTTTCTCATATCCTCACCAACACTTGCTATTATCTGGCTTTTTTTTAAAAAAAAAAAAAAAAAAAAAGAAGAAGAATCATCTCGCTCTGTCTCCTAGGCTTGAGTGCAGTAGTGTGACCTCAACTCACTGTAACCTCCACCTCCTGGGTTCAAGCAATTCTCCTGCCTCAGCCTCCCGAGTAGCTGGGATTACAGGCGTGAGCCACCATGCCTGGCTAATTTTTGTATTTTTAGTAGAGACAGGGTTTCACCATGTTGGCCAGGCTGGTCTCAAAGTCCTTATCTCAAGTGATCCACCCGCGTCGGCCTCCCAAAGTGCTGGGATTACAGGTGTGAAACATGGCATCCGGCCAAGATTTCTAAAATACTTTGTTTTTCATGTCCATTATCTCCAACTAATTTTTTTTCTTTTCCTTTTTTGAGACGGAGTCTCCCTCCGTCACCCAGACTGGAGTGCAGTGGCGTGATCTCAGCTCACTGCAACGTCTGCCTCCCGGGATCATGCAATTAATGTGCCTCAGCCACCCGAGTAGCTGGGATTACAGGCGTGCACCACCGTGCCCAGCTAATTTTTCTGGTAGAGGCAGGGTTTTGCCATGTTGCTCAGGCTGGTCTCGAACTCCTGGCCTCAAGTAATGTGCCCACCTCAGCTTCCCAGCTGGGATTACAGGTATGAACCGCTGTGCCCGTCCTAATTCTTTTCTTTAACTGCCGTTCCTGCTTTATGTTTCCTGTATCCTCCCTAGCCTTTTTGATGATATTTATTATACTTTAATGGTTTTTTCTTTTTCCTATCTGGTTCATTATTATGACAGACAGTCTATACCAGAGAAAGTTTCTTTGGTAGTACTTGCTTTCTTCAGTTGCCTCATGTTTTCTTATACACAAATATTCCTTTGGGACGTTAGCCACTCTGATTGGTAACGTGCTCCTGGAAGGAAGATCAAAAGCTTATGCGCTATCTCATGTGTCCCTCCATTGAGTTTAGGGATTGGAGGTTGCATAGAAGAGGAAACAACCCAGGCTGGGCGCTGTGGCTCACGCCTGTAATCCCAGCACTTTGGGAGACCGAGGCAGGTGGATCACCTGAGGTTGGGAGTTTGCAACCAGCCTGACCAACATGGAGAAACCCTGACTCTACTAAAAATACAAAATTAGCCAGGCGTGGTGGCGCATGCCTGTAACCCCAGCTACTGGGGAGGCTGAGGCAAGTGAATCACTTGAACCCGGAAGAAGGAGGTTGCGGTAAGCCAAGATCACGTCATTGCACTCCAGGCTGGGCAACAAGAGCAAAACTCCATTTCAAAAGGGAAAAAGAAAAAAAAAGAAGAGGAAATGGCCCCACTATGCTGCAGAGCCCCTGGAATATGGGCTCCTTCACTCTCCATTTGCAGCAGCATTCTGTGCTCTCCAACACAAACACACACACACACACACACTCTTTGTCCTGTTTTTCAAGAGCTGTCTTTTTGAGTTATAATGGAGAAGTTAGGAAGTAGGCCCATTCAGGAGCCAACAAGTTCACTGTCCCCTTACCCTCTTATCTGTCTCAAATACACATGCATATTTGCCCTAAGCTAGGCTGCAACACTGGCATGATGTTACCCTGCTGACTGGTTAGGGCTGGGCTGCTTACTTGGCACTGGCAACATGGCAGGCAGTGACTCGCTCAGCACAGCTAGAAAGCATCCTCCTGCCTGGCATCCCCTGTGAATCTGGGCCCTCTTTTCCCTAGCTTACCACAGCCCCCCAGTGTCTGGTTTGGGGATCTGTCTAATTCCTTTTTACTTAAATGGCTTCCCTAGATTTAGATTCTAAGGAAGAAGTGAAGAAGTCAGCAAGCCTTGTTTGCTTATTATCTTGTTTGGAAGGTTCTAGTTTCACCACATCTGAGCTTCATGAGGGTAAGGGAATTGGCTTCACAGCTGTCTGTGTGTGCCCAGGGCCTAGTCTGCACTGTTATAGCACACAGACTGAACTGTCAGTGAGGGCCACCTGGCCTCAGGACTCTCTTTTCAAGCTTCTTACTGTGCTCCTCTTTATTGTTTTCTAGGGGCTCAGCTAGGGGTTTCCAGGTATCTGGGAAAATGCCAGAAGAACTCACCAGGTGCTGGGAAGCATCCCTTTTCCGGAAAGTCCTTTTACTTGGATCTGCCTGCTGGCAAGAATCTCCAGTTTTTGACAGGGGCCATTCAGCAACTGGGTGGGGTAGGTAACCTGCTCTTCTCCTGTGATACCATGTGCATTTGCGCTGTAGAGCAGGAGTTGGATAGGGATTACATCTGTAGTTTCCAGGTATTTTCTTTTTTTTTTTTTTTTGAGATGGAGTCTTGATCTATAATCCAGGCTGGAGTGCAGTGACACGATCTCAACTCACTGCAACCTCTGCCTCCCAAGGTTCAAGCAATTCTCCTGCCTCAGCCTCCCCAGTAGCTGAGATTACAGGTGCACACCACCATGTCTGGCTAATTTTGTCTTTTTAGTAGAGATGGGGTTTCACCTTGTTGGCCAGGGTTGTCTTGAACTCCTGACCTCGTGTTCTGCCCACCTCGGCCTCCCAAAGTGCTGGGATTACAGGTGTGAGCCACTACGCCCAGCAGTTTCCAGGTATTTGCAAAGGTCTCACTACATTTCCCAAAGCAATTTTAAACATAAACCATTTTTTTGGCCAGGTGCAGTGGCTCACATCTATAATCCGAGCACTTTGGGAGGCCAAGGCAGGTGGATTACTTGAGGTCACGAGTTCGGGACCACCCTGGCCTAAACAACAAAACCCTGTCTCTACTAAAAATACAAAAATTAGCCAGGCATCATGGTTGGCGCCTATAGTCCCAGCTGCTCAGAAGGCTGAGGCAGGAGGATTATTTCAACCTGGGAGGCGGAGTTTGCAGTGAGCTGAGATCGTACTACTGCACTGCAGCCTGGGAGACAGAGCGAGACTCTGTCTCAAAAAATAATAATGATAATAAATAACCTTTAAAAAGTAAAGATAAATCTTTTTCCATATTAGAAACTTAGGCTGGGCACAGTGGCTCATGACTGTAATCCCAGCACTTTGGGAGGCTGAGGAGGACAGATCACTTGAGTCCAGGAGTTCAAGATCAGCCTGGCAACATGACGAGAATCTGTCTCTACAAAGCATACAAAAAATTAAGCGGGTGTCGTGGTGCATGATTGTAGTTGGGAGGCTGAGGTAGGAGGATCACTTGAGCCCAAAAGGCGGAGGTTACAGTGAGCTGAAGACGAGATCTTGTGCCACTGCACTCCAGCCTAGACAACAGAGTGAGACCTTGTCTCAAAAAAAGGCTGGGTGCGGTGGCTCACACCTGTAATCCTAGCATTTTGGGAGGCCAAACCAGGTGGATCACTTGAGCCCGGGAGTTTAGATCACCCTGGCCAATATGGCAAAACCCTGTCTCTACTAAAAATACAAAAATTAACCAGGTCCAGTGGCACATGCCTGTAGTCTCAGCTACTCAGTAGGCTGAGGTATGAGACTCGCTTGAGCCCCAGGAGGCAGTCCAGCCAAGGTGACACAGCATGACCCTGTCTCAAGAAAAAAAGAAATGTGGTTTTTTTTTTCTGAGACAGTGCCTCGCTCTCTCACCCAGGTTGGAGTGCAGTGGCGGGATCTCGGCTCACTGCAAGCTCTGTCTCCCAGGTTCATGCCATTCTCCTGCCTCAGCCTCCTGAGTAACTGGGACTACAGGTGCCCACCACCATGTCCGGCTAATGTTTTTGTATTTTTAGTAGAGACGAGGTTTTACCGTGTTAGCCAGGATGGTCTTGATCTCCTGACCTCGTGATCCGCCTGCCTCGGCCTCCCAAAGTGCTGGGATTACAGGTGTGAGCCACCACGTCCAGTCAAAAAAAAGGAAACTGAATGGCGGGTTGTGGTGGCTCACACCAGTGATCTCAACACTTTGGGAGGCTGAGGCGGGAGGATTGCTTGAGTCCAGGAGTTTGAGGCCAACCTGAGCAACACAGTGAGACCTCATCTCTACAAAAAATAAAATTATAACTCCCAGGCACAGTGGCTTACTCCTATAATCCCGGCACTTTGGGAGGCCCAGGCGGGCAGATCACCTAAGGTCAGGAGTTTGAGACCAGCCTGACCAACATGGAGAAACCCCATCTCTACTAAAAATACAAAATTAACCTGGCGTGGTGGCACATGCCTGTAATCCCAGCTACTCAGGAGGCTGAGGCAGGAGAATCAATTGAACGCAGGTGGCAGAGGTTGCAGTGAGCTGAGATCACACCATTGCACTCCAGCCTGGGTAACAAGAGCAAGATTCCATCTCAAAAAAAAAAAAAAAAGGTTAGCTGGGGCCAGTGACACATGCCTATAGTCCAGCTACTCAGGAGGCTAAGGTGGAAGGATTACCTGAACTCAGGAGTTTGAGGCTACAGTGAGCTATGATTGCACCGCTACACTCCAGCCTGGATGACAAAACAAGACCCTGTCTCAAAAATAATGTTAAAATAAATAAATAAATAAACAAACATATTATCTGTTCGTTCTAGAAATTTTAGAGAACATGGAAGTACTCCAAGTGACAACTAGCATTTTTAAGTATTTTTCTTTCCTCCCTTCTTCTCATAATGACTTAATTTAGATATAATTCACATATCATAAAATTCATCCATTTAAAGTGCACAGCTCAGTGGTTTTTAGTATATTCACAGAAATGTGTAAGTTGTATGATCGCATAGTCAATTGTAGAACATTTTCATCACCCCAAAAAGGAAACCACTCCCTATATGCTTGGGCAACTCTCCTTGATACTCCTAGCCCGGGGTAAATTTCCGTCTTCCTTCTGCCTCCATCCTACCTTTGTTTTATTGTGCTTCTTTTTTTTTTTTTTTTTTTTTTGATAGTGGGCCACACTCAGTCACCCAGGCTAGAATGCAGTGGCGCCATGATGGCTCACTACAGCCTCATACAGCCTCAACCTCCCCGGACTCAGGTGATCCTCCCACCTCAGTCTCCCTGTAGCTGGGACTACAGGTGCTTGCCACGATGCCTTGCTCATTTTTGTACTTTTTTGTAGATGCAGAGTGTCGCCATGTTCCCCAGACTGGTCACAACCTCCTGGGTTCAAGTAATCCTCCTGCCTCAGCCTCCCAAAGTACTGGGATTACAGGCCTGAACCACTGCTACTGGCCCTTTTTCTTTATTTATTTTGAGACGGAGTCTCGCTCTTGTTGCCCATGCTGGAGTGCAATGGCACGATCTCAGCTCACTGCAACCTCCACCTCCTGGGTTCAAGCGATTCTCCTGCCTCAGCCTCCCAAGGGGCAGGGATTACAGGCATGCGCCTCCACGCCCCGCTAATTTTGTATTTTTGGTAGAGACTGGGTTTCTCCATGTTGGTTGGGCTGGTCTGGAACTTCTGATATCAAGTGATCCACCCACCTCAGCCTCCCAAAGTGCTGGGATTACAGGTGTGAGCCACCACGCCTGGCCTTTTTTTTTTTTTTTTTTTTGCCTTACCCAGTTGCCTGCAAGAGGGAGCTGAGGGCAGGGCTGGGAAGGGCAGGGCAATGCTTATTTTTTTCTAGCTGTGATCATGAGTACTTTCTTTTTAAATTTTAGAGACAGGGTCTCGCTATGTTGGCCAGGTTGGTCTTTTACTCTTGGCATCAAGCAGTCCCCCGACCTCAGCCTCCCAAAATGTTAGGATTATGGGCATGAGCCACAGCACCCAGCTGGCATTAGTACGTTTTTATTATCAACTTTTTACCCATAACCTTAAAGCATTAGCACTTTTCTATCATTATTGCCCTTCATATGTATCATTTGCAATGGGAATATAATATTCTTTTGAGTGGATTATTAATTTACTTAACTGTTGCCCTGTGGACATTTAGAGTCTTAATAATTTTTAGCGTTTAGAAATAACACAGGTGAACAACTTTGAGTAAAAAGCATTTGCTATATTTGATTCCATTAAAATATTTTTAGGGGCTGGGCACGGTGGCTCACGCTTGTAATCCCAGCATTTTGGGGTTGAGGCCAAGAGTTCGAGATCAGCCTGGCCAACATGGTGAAACACAGTCTCTACTGAAAATACAAAAATTAGCCAGGTGTGGTGGCATGCACCTGTAATCCCAGCTACTCGGGAGGCTGAGGTAGGAGAACTGCTTGAAACCGGGAGGTGGAGGTTATAGTGAGCCAAGATCGTGCCTCTGCACTCCAGCCTGTGCAACAAAGCAAGACTCCATCTCAAAAACAAACAAACAAACAAAATATATATATATATTTAGACTGGGCTCAGTGGCTCACACCTGTAATCCCAGCGCTTTGGGAGGCTGAGGTGGGCAGATCACCTGAGGTCAGGAGTTCTAGACCAACCTGGCCAACATAATGAAACCTTATATAAAAAATTAGCAGGGCATGGTAGCACGCACTTGTAGTCCCAGCCGCTTGGGAGGCTGAGGCATAACAATCGCTTCAACCCAGGAGGCAGAGGTGCTAGTGAGCCAAAATTGTGCCGTTGCACTCCAGCCTGGGCAACAGAGCAAGACTCTGTCTCCAAAAAAAAAAAAGAAAAGAAAATAGCATGATAGTTCTTGGCCCAAAAGAGACTAACAACTGGGGAAACTAGATGAATAGGCTTGGAATGGACAGGCCCTTTGCTGTCAAACCCAGAAACTCGGGACTGCAGAAACTCGGTGAGGATGGATAGAATGAGGATTATATAACCAAACTGGCCCATAATTACATTTTGAACTTTTAGTCCTTTCTGTCATTTAGCCTTTGCTATATAGGGCTTAAAGCAACAATTTATTTTTTTTTTATTTATTTATTTTTAGACAAAGTTTCGCTCTTGTTGCCCAGGCTGGAGTGCAATAGTGCAATCTCGGCTCACTGCAACCTCCAACTCCGAGCCTCCAGAGTAGTTTGGTTTACAGGCACCATGTCCAGCCAGTTTTTGTGTGCATGTGTGTATTTTCAGTAAAGACGAAGTTGCACCACATTGGCCAGGCTGGTCTTGAACTCCTGACCTCAGGTGATCCACCTGCCTTGGCCTCCCAAAGTGCTGGGATTACAGGCGTGAGCCACCGCACCTGGCCAAAACAACAATTTATTATTTCTCATTATGCTGTGGGTTGGCTGGGTGGTTTATCTGGTGGCTTCAACGGGGCTCATTCCTGAAGCTGCATTCAGCTGGAGGGTCACCTGGGCTGGAAAGACCAAGATGGCCTCACTTACACATCTGGCACTCTGTGCCAGACTAGCTGATTTAACATGGTGGTCTCAAGGCAGCCTTCCCAGAAAGTGAGGCAGGAAGCCAAGGCCTCTGAAGCCTAGGTTCTAGAACTCACACATCATAATTTCCCCATGTTCTGTTGGTCCAATCGAGTCAGATTGAAGGGCATAAAAAAGTAGGTCCCATCTCCTAATGGCAGGAACAACAAAGTCATATTGCAAAGGAGTAGGTATACTGGGATGGGAGGAGGAATGTATGGTCATTAACAATCTCCTGTATTTATATAGGATAATCATTGATTGCCCTACTCCTACCCTCTAGCATTTGCTTTTGCCATATTAAAAAAGGTAGATGCAGCCAGGCACGGTGGCTCACACCTGTAATCCCAGCACTTTGGGAGGCCAAGGTGGGTAGATCACAAGGTCAAGAAATTGAGACCATCTTGGCCAACATGGTGAAACCCCATCTCTACTAAAATTACAAAAATTAACTGGGCATGGTGGCACGCGCCTGTAGTCCCAGCTATTCAGGAGGCTGAGGTAGGAGAATCGCTTGAACCTGGGAGACAGAGGTTGCAGTGAGCCGAGATTGTGTCACTGCACTCCAGCCTGGTGACAAAAAAAAGGTAGATGTGATCAGGCATGGTGACTCACACCTGTAATCCCAACACTCTGGGAGGCCGAGGTGGGCAGATCACTTGAGGTCAGGAGTTCCAGACCAGCCTGACCAACACGATGAAACCCCGTCTCATCTAAAAATACAAAAATTAGCCGGTGTGGTGGCACACACCTGTTGTCCCAGCTACTTGGGAGGCTGAGGCAGGAGAATTGCTTGAACCCCGGAGGTGGAGATTAGAGTGAGCCCAGATCGCGCCATAGCACTACAGCCTGGGAGACAAAGTGAGACCTTGTCCCAAAAAAAAAAAAAAAAAAAAAACCCAGAAAAGAAAAAAAGGTAAATGTAATGCTTCAATTCATAACTAGATTTTTTAAATTGTCATAAAGTATATATAACATAAAATAAGTCATTTTAGCCTTTTTTTCTTCTTTTTTAAGAGAGACAGGATTTCACTCCCCAACCTGGAGTGTAGTGGTGCAGTCATAGCTCACTGCATCATTGAACTACTGGGCTCAAGGGATGCTCCTGCCTCAGCCTCCCAAGTAGCTAGGACTACAGGTGCACATAACAACACCCAGCTAATTTAAGAAATTTAAAAAAAAAAAATTTTAGAGACAGGGTCTTGCTGTGTTGCCCAGGCATGTCTTGAACTCCTGACCTCAAGTGATTCTCCCACCTCAGCCCCCTACAGTGCTAGGATTACAGGCATGAGCCACCATACCTGGTCCCCAGTGTGTCTTACACAGAAAAATCATGGCTTACACAAGCTAGTCTTAATCCTGTCCAGTTCTTCCAATGTGTTCTTGCTATATGCAAACTCAAACTGCTCATAGAACTCAAAGCCTGCAGCCTTCTACCACTGGGTCAGGGGCAGCAGTCCTGGAGACAAAACCTGTTTTATTTATATATATATGTATATATACACCCTATTAGATTTCAGGATGATGTCTTCTTAGGAACTTCGTACGGAACTGCATTTAGTCTATTTAAAGACATTGATTCTGGAACTCCTGGCAGCCAAGATTTCCTTCTCTAGCCTCTTTATATTGACAATTCTGCATTTGCTTTTTGGTTTTCAGCCATCTCTGTGATCTGGTTTCAGGTAATTGAGGGTTTTCTGAGCAAAGAAGTAAGTTACATCGTGTCCAGCCGCAGAGAAGCAAAAGCAGAGAGCAGTAGGACAAACCAAAGAGGCTGCCCTAGCCCTAACCCCAGTAAGGTCAGAGTGGAAACATCGGCCATGGTTGATCCAAAAGGCAGCCACCCCAGGCCTTCACAAAAACCCGTTGACTCGGTAAGAACCTCATGGAGTAGGAAAGGTATGCTGTGTAAACAAAGGAAGTAGGCTTTGGTGAGCCTTTTAAGGCAGTCTCTGGTTTTAGTTTCATCTGGCTTAATTTAATCTCTCATTTGAATTCAGGGACTGAGAATATTTTATCATAGCTCTGGATCTAAACACCTCAGCAACATACTATCCCCCGTGCTACCCTTTTATGCCATATGTCAGTTTTTATAGGACTTCAAAGCCAGAGTTTTAGAAACCAGAAGAGACTCTTCATAAACCAGAGAAGACGTGTTGGGATTGGTCTGGGCTTGGGCAGGAGTACCCTGAGTAGGCAGCCATTCCCTTCTTCCTTGCTTGCAGGTATGAAGGGCCAAGAGTTTGGATAATACACGTGTTATGTCTTTGATTTAAAATGGAATATGGCTTTTCCCCTCTAGGCTTACATTCTTATTTTTGTCTAACTTATATTAATATTAAAATGTCCATGAACATACATTGTTGGCATTGTGATGACAGATGGGACTTCCTACGAGCAAAAACTTCTGAAGTGAAACATTTGCTTTCATAATCTGCTGGAGGGTGCAGAGACTCTTAAAGAGGGGTCTCAGGACATTTGTAACAATTGGATCTCAGTGAATTTAGAGTGCCCTTCTCTCCACCAGGTTCAGGCTGCCACCTCAGGGTTACCTAAACTTCCTGCGGCTTTACCTTTACCTCCTAGATGTTTTCTAGGCTCTCATTTCTACCAGTCCTCAGTCGTCACTGCTCCCAGCTTTCCCAGGGACATAACGCCAAGACATAACCCCTCACCAGCTCCTGTGTAAACATCTTTCAGTGCACACATGGCCTAACAGCAGACATCACTGCTCTTCTCTCCCGTCAGGTGCCTCTAAGCAGAGGGAAGGAGCTGCTGCAGAAGGCCATCAGAAACCAGGTGAGCTGGAGCAAGACGGGACAGAGTGGGTAGTCTCCAGCACAGGGAGGGATTTCACCCTTCTTCCCAGGTTCTTCTGAAGCACCCACTCAAACTGCACACTCTGCGATATGTAGTATTGTCATTATTTCCTTCTTCTACGTTAGTTAGTGGAGGCTCAGACAAGTTATTTAGCCATTCACCTCGAGAGTAAGTAAGTGTTGAAACCAGAGCCACCTCCAACTCCGGAGCCTACCAAGAGAACCATGGGGATGTGGGATGTGGCAGGACAGGGCTGCTTGGTACAGAAGCCAGACTTCTTTTACAAGTAACTCTTTATTTCTTGTGTGAAAATTCAGGGCTGTTAAAGTTTAGTGGCAGGAAGAGGAGTTAAGGTGATCTTGTGAGAAGAGTCATGCTAGTGACATCAGGAGGAGTACATGGCTGTGATGGGGGAGGTGGTGCTGCTGGACTGAGCCAGTGGAGGGGGAAGATCGGCAGCCAGCATAGTTTCATGCTCAGAGAGGATGATGGTCACCATGTTTGTTGTGTACTTACTGTGCTGAGAGCTTTCCTTGCAGAGGCCCTCCCCACAAACAGCTCTCTTAGAAGCACCTGTTCCTTTCTGGTCACGAGGTGGCCAGAGCACAATGTATAGGCAGACCAGTGGTCTTTCCCCTCCCAATGTGGCCATATGGAGGACAGGATGTCTTCCTGAGAGTTGGGATGGACTCTCTGGGCACTGTACTCTCTCTCCTGCCTGCCTCCCCCCAGTCCCTCCCATGGATGATTCAGGGCTCCCAGAAGCAATTTCTATCTGTCCCCTTCATGTTCAGGCCTTGGGGAGTCTCTGCTCCTACCTGACTCTGTGTTGTAATTTCAGGGGAGCATCAGTGGAGGAGGCAGTGGGGGCAGCAGCAGCCTCCTGACCAATGCCCGCTCTTGGGGAGTGAGGATTCTGCACGTGGATGGTACCCTTTCTGTGCTGGGCTCCTGTGGAGGGAGAGTTGGTGACTTTGACCAGGAGTGTCAGCTTTTAGGAGGATCATGGTCATGTGAGCTTCTGGTCACCGGAAGCCAGAAGTACCCAGCTGCCATGTTGATCCACAAAGGTGGGAGGATGTGGGGAAGGGAGAAAGCGGTGAGGATGCAGAGTGCAGGCTGTGGCCTCAGCGTCCCGCAGGAGGTCCCTAAAACATGCCGTTTCATGTCACCTGCTACAGCTCTCCCCCAGCTAGTGTGATGATCCCGTTTTATAAATGCAGAAATTACCTTAATATTCATGACCACTGGCCAGTGCAGTGGCTCACACCTGTAAATCCCAGCACATTGGGAGGTCAAGGCAGGTGGATCACAAGGTGAAGAGTTCAAGACCAGCCTGACCAACATGGTGAAACCCCATCTCTACTAAAAATACAAAAGTCAGCCGAGCCTGGTGGTGCATGCCTGTAATCCCAGCTACTCAGGAGGCTGAGGCAGGAGAATCACTTGAACCCAGGAGGCGGAGGTTGCAGTCAGCCAAGATCATACTACTGCACTCCAGCCTGGGTGACAGAGCGAGACTCCATCTCAAAAAAAAAAAAAATTTCATGACCACTTAACAGGTATTGACTCTGTGCTACGAATTACCTCCTTTAATCCTCACTGCAGTTCTGTCCCCATTATACAGATGAGGAAATTGAGCTTCAAACGGATTAGGCAAATTGTCCATGGTCTCACCAGAGTGTGTAGTGTGGACCACCACTCTCAGTTTGACTCAGCTGTAAATTTTGTGCTCCTTCTTTTCTCACACTGTAAACAACCCGTTTGCAGCCTGTTTAGAATAGTTGTCTTGAACCAGCTGGCAGTGAGTGATCTCATACCCAACTCCATTCTTGAGTCTGGAGTTTTCTCTGATCCATTTTAGGGGACTGGTCCAGATGGGACAGCCCATAGGTGCTGACTGGAATGCTGCCCCACCTCTTGGTACCAAGATCTTCCAGGGGAGTCTAGAGGCTGTACAGGGGAAGTTCCTGGTCTGGGATGTGGAGGGCTTCATCTCACTGAAAAATCAGCCATTTCTGACTTGATCTCCTCCCCTGCCTTCCTTTGTTAGAGAAGTGCCAGCATGTAGAGCTTGCTGGTCTTTCACCTGAGGGTACAGCTGAGTAGTTCACACAGCATGGCCTCCCTCATAGCCGCAGCTCTTCAGTGGTGCCTTAAAGTCGTTAGCAAGCCATGAGGCACCTTCTGTTCAAAGATGAGTTGTATTCAGTGCTGCAAAAGAGCATGACACCCGCTCAGGTGCTGTTCCAGGGATAGAGGACCCAGTCCTTACCTCTGCCATCAGGAGATGCAGAGGGGATGTGTAGCCAGAAGGTGGCAGGCAAGGCTGGAGTGATTCAGTGGGCTGGCCGAGCGAGTTTAGTCCTGCGGCCCGGAAGGGGCTGTGCTAGGTAAGTGAACACTGGAAGCCTTTGGCACAAACCCTCTGTCTTCTCCACAGAAATGATGATGCACATGCAGCAGCTGTCTCTTGCCTCTTTATGTGTGAAAAAACAAGAGCCAAAGAAGCCAGAGGTAGGTCATCCTGCTGAATTGAAGGGCAAATGGATGGTTTTCAGTGAAATCAGTGATAACTTAGGTAAATCCATGGCCCGCCCAAACCATCTCTTCCTGGCCATTCTGAGAGATGGAAGGGGAATGCTGCCTCTTACTTACCTCAGTCCTAGCACCCATAGCTTTGCGACACCCTTTCTTCTCTCTGCGGCACTTGCAGTCCTCCCATGGCACACACCCTGCTGAGACATCCCTATGGCCTGGGCCGCCTGGGCCATGAGCTGCCTTACAGTAGTTCTGGACTAGATAAGGTTCATAAATGCCCATGGCACTGACCAGGCTGCTATTCTGGGGACAGCTCTTAACCTGGGAATAAGTCTGCATACTGCAGGGGTGAGAAGGAGTGATCGAAATAGCTGCCATCTTCTAAATCCTTGTTTGTTTTCCATTCTTTGCTGGCGTTAGAACTGTGTGTATCACATCAAGAGAGCCCAACCTGGTTTAAAGCCACAGTATCTTCACCCAAGCCTCAGTCTGAGGAAGGATTAAATCTACAGATCCACCCACAGCCTGGCATCCAGACACAGGATGAACAGTAATAGCTATTAGTTAACAGTGCTAATTAGCTAACAGTACTAGCAAACCACATCCAAAGTGGATGGAGCGGCTGGGCGTGGTTGCTCACACCTGTAATCCCAGCACTTTGGGAGGCCAAGGCCGGCAGATCACTTGAGGTCAGGAGTTCGAGACCAGCCTGGCCAACATGGTGAAACCCTGACTCTGCTAAAAATACAAAAATTAGCCAGGCGTGGTGGCACATGCCTGTAATCCCAGCTACTCAGGAGGCTGAGGCAGGAGAATCTTGAACCCAGGAGGCATGTTGCAGTGAGTCGTGATCGCACCATTGCACTCCAACCTAGGCAACAGATGAAATTCTGTCTCAAAAAAACTTTTAAAAAATAGTGAATGGAGCACTCAGACACTGATACCCTCTCCACACCCTCTCCTTTAGGAGTGTTGGGGATGTTGCTGCTGTTAAATTTGTGTTGTTCAAAATTCAAAAGGGTATACAACAAAAAGTCTCTCCCTGCTCCAGCTTCTCAACCACTGGCCTCCCTTCCTGACAAACAGTGTGAACAGTTTTTAGGACTCTATGCATATAGAAGCAAATATGTCAAAAATTCTCCCCTTCTAGGTAGATGCACAGCATTTTTACTTTAACTTAATCAGTTTTGTAGGCCAGGCACAGTGGCTCACGCCTGTAATCCCAGTACTTTGGGAGACCAAGGCAGGCGAATCACTTGAAGTCAGGAGACCAGTCTGGCCAACATGGTGAAACCCTGTCACTACTAAGATATAAAAATTAGCTAGGTGTGGTGGCACACACCTGTAATCCCAGCTACTTGGGAGGGTGAGGCAGGAGAATCGCTTGAACCCGGGAGACAGAAGTTGCAGTGAGCTGAGATTGCACCACTGCACTCCATCCTGGGCAACAGAGTGAGACTCTGTCTCAAAAGAAAGAAAAAAAATTAGTTTTGTAGGTATCTGGCAGTGAAGTGAGTTTTGGATGTAATGTGCTGATATGCAAGGGAGTGTGAGAGGCTTCTTTGGATTGTGTTTGCCCTCAAGGTGTGGCCTAGAGGAGAATCTGAAACTTCTTAGGGCCCGGAGGCACAGGTGGTCATGGATCCACCATCATCCTGGCCCTCCAGCTAAAGCTGATTATTTTATTTTATATTTGTTCACTTATTTTTCAGGTATACACCAGAAGATCCATTTACTCTTTTTTCTTTGTATTTTATTTATTTATTTTACTTTACTTTTTTTGTGAGACAAGGTCTGGCTCTGTCACCCAGACTGGAGTGCAGTGGCGCCATCTCTGTTCACTGTAACTTCCGCCTACTGGGCTCAAACCATCCTCCCACCTCAGCCTCCCAAGTAGCTAGGACTACAGCATGCGCCACCATACCTGGCTAATACTTTTTTTTTTTTTTTTTTAGAGATAGGGTCTCACTATGCTGCCCAGGCTGGTCTCAAACTTGTGAGCTCAAGCAATCCACCTGCCTTGGCCTACCAAAATGTTGAAATTACAGGCGTGAGCCACCGTGCCCAGCCTCCATTTACTTTTTAATATCAGCCTTGTTTGACCTTGGCTTAAACATTGATTTTGACCCACAGAATCAGAGTACACAAGATAGGACAGAGGAAAGCAAATGGCCATTGTCTTTATCCTAGTCCTATAGGGTACCTGGAACAGCATCACTACTTAGAAAATAAAGCTGCCATTTAGTGAGCATCTCTTCTATGCAACACGCTATGAGGTCGGTGGGTCCTCCTCACATTGCAGGTGGTAGAGCTGAAGTTTACACCAGGTCTCTGGGGCTCCGGAGTTCTTGCTCTCTGCACTGTCCTGCACTCCCTGCACAGTCAGCTGCCATTAAGATTCACACACCAAGTGACCCTTATTCATCGTGTTGCCGAGGAGGGAGCCGTTGTGCCCAGGTCTGCTCCAGCTCAGGGCCCAAGAGTCTGGTTCTGCAAGCCTCTCAACAGCAGGAAGCAAAGTGGGACAGACTGGCAGCCACTTGGTTTATCAGGCCCAGTTCCTTGACCCCCGTGGCTTCCTCACATCCTTAACCTATTTTTCCTTTCCATTTAGGGAACATGTCCAGCAGCAGAGTCAAGAACACGGAAAGGTCAGTGTGGTAGCTTTTCCTCATGTAATTGCAATCCCTCCCTCCCTAAACACTTCCCCACGACTCCCTCTGTGGCAGCATCTGCTCACTTTTCTGTGGCAGCAAGCGAGTCCAGGTTATCTTGCCCCTTTGTGTTTCCAGGGCCTGGGCCTCAGGTTTCTGGAGCAAGAGAGGCATGTCCAAGAGCAAGTCCAAAGCTGCTAGGCCGGGGCTTCTCCTTTAGAGCCAAGACCCCATGCAGACACTTTGGCTCCTATGTCCTCTGGCTGTTCCCGTGCATCGACTGAGGTTCAGCATCCTTTTCCTTCTGATTCAGTAGCAGTTTGAGGGTGGGCAGTTTGACAGCTGCCTACCGTTTTCAGAACTGCCAAACTCCCTGAAACTGACAAACTGGCGGATTGATGGACTCTATCTCCTGGTTCCTCTTGGAAAGCAGGAGAGTTTCTCCCCCTGGATGTTTCTCCCAAAGATGCTCTTTCAGTGGCATTTATTCATGCACAAGCAGGAGCTAAGAAAAGTCACTTGGCACCTCTCTCATGCTCAGAATTCAAGGAAGTCTGTAGGGGAATTGATTTTAATAACTGTCTCAGTTAATTAGAAAGACAAGAAATTGTCCCCAAAAAGTAATTAATGAGAGCTGTTGCTAAAGGAGAAAAGGCTGCTTTTTGCTTGGGTGCTACTGGTGGCCTCAAGTACAGTTGGGAGCTGTAAGGTGCCAGCGTCTTTGGGGAATTTTTGGCTGTCAGACGGGGGCCAGGCTTTCAGCTGCCTTGGCTGCACCTTCCACAGGACTCCTGGTCACTGTGGGTCCTGATGCCTAAGAGATTTTCTAAGCTATGCGAATAACTATCTAATAGGGGTGAGTCTCTTAATTGACTCCAAATTCGTCTTCTCAGCACTCCTTTGCCCCATTTTTTCAGGAACTATATTTCACCTGTGATATTTTTTCTACCATCCTGCTAATAAGACCACTAAACACTCTTTATCCCTCTTCCAGTCTGCTTCCCCTCCAAAAATCCCAGGGTCCTCCTGGAGCATTCTGCTTGGGGAGTTGTTCTTAGGCCCCTCAGTATCCTGAGGCTCCAGGAGCAGAGGTCTAGGAAGGACCTGGGACTTGGTGGGAATGACCACCCCCACCCTGCTTTTAGCAGAAACCACCAGGGACTGGGTTTCTCCCACCAAACCAGCCAGGTGTCTGATGGTGGTGGCATCTTTGGTTGGTCGATAGCCTCCAGAATCCACACACAGGAGCTCCTGCATCCTGCTGAGGGAGGGCCCATCATCTAGGGCTTCAGTGTAGCTACAGCCTATCCCCCGACTGATGCAACCTTTCTCCCAGGGATAGAGGCTGGAAATCTGAGTGAACGGAGAGCGCAGCCTGGGGTGGCATGGTTTCCAGCTCTTGCAAGGCTCTTAGGCTTTGGCAGAGCCTCCTCTCTCTGAGCATTTCCTGCGTGTGTGGTGCAGGCCCTGCACAGGGGCAGACAGATAGCTAATGTGTGCATTCTTCCCCTTTCAGTAGCCAGACTGAAGGCACCATTCCTCAAAATCGAAGATGAAAGCAGGTGAGTGGGACCTCCTCTCTCTGCTTGCCCCAGCTAGGCCTGCACAGAGGAGGGAGGAGGGAGGGGTGCTCAGGGGCCTCAAGCTAATGTGAAGACATGGAGCCCCTTAGCCCTGCACCTTCATCTTCCTGAGAAGCCACTCTCTCTCACTGTCATGGAGAAGTCTCACGCAAACCAGGAGGAGCCTCTGAGAGTGGCATTATACAGTGAATAGTCCTCTTGGAGATGAGTCAGAGGTTAATGATCCTGTGTGTGAATTACCTCCATTTAAAACTCTGCTCTGTGAGCTCATGGTGTCCCATGCAGGCTCATTATTGCAGCTTTTTTCCCTTGGGTGTGTGCTGACATTTCATGTCAAATCATTACTGACCCAGTCACAGTGCTAGTATAGTCCAAGACGTCATCTTGGCTGAAACGAGGGTGCTAGGGGTGGTACTGGGGATTCCCTTTTCAGGCCACCCTGTACTTGATAAAGCCTTTCTGTTTCACTTTGAAAAATCCTTTTCTGGCTCATGTTATCTCCTGACAGCCCTGGGTGAAAAAAGCATGAGGAGAGTCTGTCTCTTCCTAATGGGGAAAACTGAGGTCAGAGAAAGGAAGGGACTTGTGTACAGCCACCTTGCTAATAAACTGTAGCCCGAGGCTAGAATCCAGGTGTCCTGCCTGCCCTGTTTTGTGTCTTCTCCATCCACCATTATGGCCTCTTCTTCCCTGGAGCAGGAGGGTCCCATTGACATTGTTAACCTGATGAGCTATTAGCAGCCATGTTGGTTATCACTGAATCTTCAGTAAGTACAAGATCAAAAGTCTATGTGAATCTATAATTTTCTCAAAATTTAAAATTAAAAAAAAAAAATTTTTTCCAAAAAGGCATTTTCAGACTAAATAAATTTATTTGTTTGTTTATTTATTTGTCACCCAGGCTGGAGTGCAGTGGTGCGATCTCGGCTTACTGCCTCCTGGGTTCACGCCATTCTCCTGCCTCAGCCTCCCAAGTAGCTGGGACTACAGGCGCCCACCACCACGCCCGGCTAATTTTTTGTATTTTTAGTAGAGACGGGGTTTCACCGTGTTAGCCAGGATGGTCTCAATCTCCTGACCTTGTGATCCGCCCGCCTCAGCCTCCCAAACTGCTGGGATTACAGGCATGAGCCACTGCGCCCAGCCCAGACTAAATAAATTTTTTAAAGGAAATAAGTCCGTGTATATCCAGCAGAGACTACTTAGCACAGAATTGTCTGTGTGACTCAGTCAGGGAAGGGCAGGGCAGCTGAGACCAGCCCTAGGAGCCTGGCTTGCCTGCCCATACTCCAGACAAGCCCAGGGTCCCTTCTCAGCACCTGTAGACAGTGCAGTGCTGGCTTTGGTGGCCCAAAGGCAAGTGGAGAGAACAACAGGATGGTACAGAGGTGCTCCCTTCCAGTTCCAGTGGGATGGAGTGTGTGTTCATCCCCAGCCCCTTCACACCTATTTAAATGTAGGTAATCATGACACATATGCAGCGACTGAGAGGCACTGTTACAGCCTCAGTATCTGCACTGCACATGGCGGGCACAGGTATATCACTGTCACCAGAGGGGGGTACATAATGTGTGTGTTCCTGGCATTATAGGCCAGAGAGAAGATCCAACTGGGGCTGAGATTTCTTGTGAATTTTTTTTTTTTTTTTTTTTGAGACAGAGTCTCACTCTGTCGCCTAGGCTGGAGTGCAGTGGCGCAATCTCGGCTTACTGCAACCCCTGCCTCCCAGATTCAAGCGATTCTTCTGCCTCCCAAGTAGCTGGGACTAAAGGTGTTCACCATCATGCCCGGCTAATTTTTGTATTTTTTTGTAGAGACAGGATTTGGCCATGTTGGTCAGACTGGTCATGAGCTGGCCTCAGGTGATCCGCCTGCCTCGACCTCCCAAAGTGCTGGAATTACAGGTGGGAGCCGCAGTACCCAGCCTCTTGTGATTTTTTTTATGTGCTGTTTTGAAGCAGGTGTCTTCAAAGCCTATGAGGCCTATTAGCCTGCCCATCCTCAAGTTTCAAGCCCCCTAAGCAGAAACAAGATATCATTGAAGCAGAAAGGAACACGCCAGGGTTGTGAGGGGCACCCCCTTCTCCTTAAGGGTTCGGGAAGACTTATTTGTTAATTTACTGCTGAGCTACAGCACTCTTACCCTGCTCCCTGAGAACCCCTGGCCTGCACTGTTTACCCCAGAGCATGGACCATTGCAACCAAACATGGTGTGCCCAGCAGTTACCTCGCTCGGCAGGGTTTGCGAAGTATACACAGATCACTTCTGTCTCTGCAAGTCTCTTGAATGTTTGCAACTTCAGGCACACTGCCAGAACCACTCAGTCCAGGTCTGACTATCCAGAACCTTCACTGTGCCTGTCTTCTCTGTTCAGAACACCAGCCCTCAGATGATTCTAAGGACCAGCAAGAACGCTTCACAAAACAGGGAAATAACTGTTCTGGTTTAAACATGTTTCCATTTAGAATCTGCCAGGCTAGAGTCCTCAAAGATTGTTGTAGGGTCAAGAAACAAAATGGGAAGGTGGGGAAAAGTAGATCGGGAGTCTGGAGACGTGGCTTCTGATCTGACCTTGGCCGCTTAACTATTTGTGAGCCCTTGAGCAAGTCACAGAACCTCTTGGGCTTCATTTCCTTAGATATAGGATAAACCCAGAGGGTGCTTATAGGATTTCAGGGAGGCAGTGGTATGAGTTTGAAAAGTAGACAGGGAGAACATGCATATTAATTTAACCTAGAAAGGCTGATGTGTTTTGTTACAGAATTTAAAAGATGTGGAGGTGAGAGTCCACTTTATCAGGGCTGGAATTCTAGGGCATTGGGCGAGGCCCCCTCCTCAGCCTTTACCTTCCCCATTGTAGTCAAAGTAGAAGTTTTCTCTGTTGCAGGAAGTTTCGTCCTTTCCATCATCAGTTTAAATCCTTCCCTGAAATTTCTTTTCTTGGACCCAAAGATGCAAGTCCCTTTGAAGCCCTGACGACCCTGGGCAGCAGGCACCATACCAGGTGGGTCTTTCTGGTTCCTGAGTACCAAGGGCTGGTTACAGGCCAAAGTCCTCCCTATTGGGGGCCTGCTGGTCAGATTTGGGAATGGCCATGTGTTTGCTCCTTAGGCAAAGTCTATTCTGGGAATGTAGCCCAGAGAAGAGAGACTAGGAGCATTCATCCATTTTATTTTGTGTTCTTCATCCGTACTGAAGAATTTAACTTGAAGAAGAAAGGGAGGTGCCAGGGTTGTGAGGGGCACCCCTTTCTCCTTAAGAGTCCAAGAAGACTTATTTGTTAATTCACTGCGGAGCCACAGCACTCTTACCCTGTCCACCCAGAACCCCTGGCCTGCACTGTTTCCCCCAGAGCATGGACCATTGCAACTGAACATGGTGTGCTCGGCAGGGTTTACCGAGTATACACAGAGGACAATAGACCGCTTTCTCAAACTCATATCTATAGACCACCATCATCAGAGTCCCCTGAGGTCTCATTAAAAATGCAAGTTCTAACTGGGCACAACGGGTGATACCTGTAATCTCAGCACTTTGAGATGCCAAAGTGGGAGGATCACATGAGGCCAGGAGTTTGAAACCAACTTGGGCACACAAACATAGCAAGACCCTGTCTCTACAAAAAATAAAAAAAAAACGTAAAAAATTATGAGTCGGGCAGAGAGGCTCATGCCCGTAATTCCAGCACTTTGGGAGGACAAGGTGGGCAGATCACTTGAGGTCAGGAGTTTGAGGCAAGCCTGGCCAATATGGTGAAACCCCATCTCTACTAAAAATGCCAAAAAAAAAAAAATTAGCTGGGCATGGTGGCGCACACCTGTAATCCCAGCTACTCGGGAGCCTGAAGCAGGAGAATTGCTTGAACCCAGCAGGCAGAGGCTGTAGTGAGCTGAGATTGTGCCACTGCACTCCAGCCTGGGCGATGGAGTGAGACCCGTTGTCAAAAAAAATTAGTCAAGCGTGATGACAAGTGCCTGTAGTCCCACCTACTCAGATGGCTAAGGCAGGACGATCATTTGAGCCCAGGAGTTCAAGGTTGCAGTAAGCTGTGGTTGTGCCACTGCACTCCAGCCTGGGTGACAGAGTGAAACCCTGATGCAGGGTCCTGAACTCCACCCCACATCTATAGAATCAAAATCTCTGATGATGGAGCCCCAAAAGCTGCATTTTACAAGCTCCCAGGTGATTTTAGTGAATATCAAAGTTTAAACTGGTTGGGCCAAATGTCAGGAATAACTAAGGGGCAGGGCGGGAGAGAAGATCACTACTGCATTACGTGACTCATGGCTTGTGGGCTTGTTAATATGTCTACTCTGCAGATGTTTGAGAATTTGAACCCTCATTAACCAAAGTAGAGAAGGAGTTCAGCTCAGGTGATGGGTGAGATGCCTTCTCAGACCCTTTCTAACCTCTGGGCTATGGGGTTATAGACCAGGAGAGAATAGAGCAGACTCTTAGCCCTAGAGTTCCTGGGGCCAAGGAGCGTCTGTGGTTTCCATCTGACAAAGTGGGTCAGAAAATAGTACAAATAAGAGGGAAAAAATTAAGGGAATGTGGCATTAGATGAAGTGGGAGCAAGAAGAGAAAGAGGTGAGGTTAAGTCCCAATACAAGGGATACCAGGGAGAGCCAGTCAGAAGGTGACCCAGGCTTGGCGCTGGTAGTGATGCTAGGCCTGGGATGGCCTTGAGATCACAGAGGAGCTAAGGCTTTAAAGGGAAGATGAAGCAATGAAGCTTTGGTATCTGCATGTGAGGAGCCTAGGCAGGGGGTTGGCCCTGGTAGGACATCAAAGTTCCAGACATGTGTGTGTATGTGTGTGGAAAATCTGTGTAGGAAGAAGTGTTTAAATTTTTACATTTTTGAAATCATTATTTTAAAGTTTAAAATTTTAAAAACTTAAAAAGTTTAAAATTTGTGTTACAAATGGTTTAATGTGAAAAGTCTATATTCCACACCCAGCCTCCAGTTCTGTCCCTTCACCGGTGCAACCTTCCTCCCAGGGGTAGAGGCTGGAGGAGATCCGAGTGGTGCCTCACCCCTGCCAAATGGAGAGTGCAGCCTGGGGCAGCGTGAAAAGAAAAACCAAGTAACATCCAGCACAGTCAATACTATCAGCACAGTCAATACTATATGATTCTTTTTTTTTTTTTTTTTTTT